ATTATTTTTAAATCAATAATCGATTTATTTGATTTAATGGATTAATTTAGAAGCAAGAATCGATTTTTATGATTAATGGATTATTGGAATTTAAATAATCGATTTTTCCTCAATCAGTTCAATTCCTGTTCTGAAAATATTTCTGGAAATGTTGCTTAGAATCATATTTTTGATACCAATTGTTTATGATCATTATAAAAATGATTTTTATAGTAAAAATAATGTTTTGAACAAATAAAAATATAATGTGATGTATGACGGTAAGTTCGAGTGTTAACACTCGAGACTAGGCCGCTGTTTGCTATTAAATATTATGTTGAATGATCATTATGATGAATAATTATTATGGATAATTATGAATGATAAACCTACTGATTAAAATGATTATTGATGATTAAGTCATGATTAAAAATGAATTAATGGTGATTATGAAAATAATGTATATTGTTAAGGATATCTAGAACTCTAAGATATACCCATTTGTATATTGATGATGATTATTAAGGATATCTAGAAGAACTCTAAGATATACCTACTTGACCAATTCATATTTCGGGTTAAAACGTACGTACGGGATCCAGAACGGATATCACCCACCCGACAGTTCACTGTTCGGTTGGTACGTAATCCACATGACTCATAGGGTGGATTATCGATTCTTGTGTTCTGCATTAAACTATTTATAGTTTAAGGGTCTGGTTAGAAATGTTGCCTTAGACTAGGAATAGCTAAGAGCTTGTTATAAAATGATGTGATCTTAGATTAAGAATAATTTAAGAGCATTATTGATATATATTGAATATCAAATGACTTGGAATAAAATATTGGAAATATTTTGAATGTTTGAACCATATATTGTGTGCATGATATCAAATGGTTGATTATGAATTGAAATTCAATTTATGTGGATGTTCGACGTTTTAGATATGCTTACTCAGCTTCACCGCTGAGCGTGTAGTATGTTTTATTTGCTACACGCAGGTAAACAGAAAGATTAATGTGATCCTGGCGGCAGATGGGGCGAGATTGTCGGGATGGATGTGACAAGTTTTGAAATGATTTATGATATGTCAATATTAAATTCGCTTCCGCAATATTGTTAAATACTCCGTACTGTATATGTTATGAAAAATATTATTGAGATTAATAAAGTGTGTTTGAAAAGTTTTAAATTTTACGATTACCAAGTTAAATACTTTAGTCCGAATGGGGCTGCAGACCTGGACGGATTAGGGTGTTACATTTTTTTAAATAAAACAATAGATGATATTTTTTACGACAAAACAATAGATCATATGATTATGTTGTTTAATTAAATCATCGTAAAAAAATCTGCTTACCAATTATTCCATCCATTTCGTGATAACTGTCTATTAGGATTTATTAGATACATTAGATTTTGAATTAATATAGACATGTTAAAATGTACATTTATTCAAAATTTAATGTATCTTAGTATTCTTAATATATACTCCCTCCGTCTCTAAATAAACTTTCACTTTCGTTTTTTCTTTGTCCCCAAATAAACTTCTCTTTTCCCTTAAAAAACCTCTTTTACCTCTTACTTTTTCATACCATACCTATCACATCATATCTTTTTACTAATAATCTACATATCACATCTTACTTTTACACATCACATTAAGAGCATTTTTGGAAAGTCAACACCAAAATATCTCTCCCTTAAATCATCGAGAAGTCAAAAACGGAAGTTTATTTAGGGACGAAGGGAGTAGTTATTGTGAAATAGGAGTATTTTGTATGATGTTTGGAGTGTTGGACACAGTTTTTCCATTTTTTTATGAGCATCAAATTTATTCAATACACCTTTCGTTTCAGTTACTATTAAAGTCTATCGATAATTTGTGTTTATATACATGCTTTCATTCGTTATTTGATAAAAGATTATATTCTTATCATCTTTTATTTTTTAGGGTTGTTAGGCAATTTCTTTCATCATTTTTTAAGAATAAATTTTTTTCATTAATTATTTATTAAAATAAAATAATAATTTTACCTCATGTTTTATAAGGCATTTAATTTTTTGTGATATTTAAATGTGAAATTTATACTAAATAGCATTAAAACATAATGACTTTCCATGTCTCCATATGTCCCAAACATTTTTTTACATTTGATTATTGACATTCCCAAATTCCCCGCACAACACTTGGATCTCTAATAGCTACAGTGTAAATCGTACATAATTAGTACCGTATTATTTTAGACTTGTGATATTTTTTTGTTTGGGTCATTTTCATTCATTATTTAATAAAATAAAATAAACATGATGTAAGTTGTTTTCTAGAAATTTTGATATTGTTTTAATGTGTAAATAAAATCATTTTTAAAAAAATATTACGGAGTATTTTGCATGTTATTTGAAGGAAAAATTACCTAAAATAATCTCAACTTTACCCGGTCTTTCAAAAATAATCCTACATTTCACTGTGATGCATAATAATCCCAACTTTATTGGAATTTGCCAATTTTGGGTTGCCGTTAAGTTTCTAACGGAGGGTTAACGGAAATGTCCGTTTTAGGCAAAAACATGAAAATTTATTTTGCATGTTATTTGAAACATTATATGCGGATAATTTTGGAACATGAGTAGTAAATATTATAGGGAGTAGATAAATACATTTTTGTCACAATAAATGGTCTAAATTTATAACATTTGATAAAAGAAGTTAAATGTAAGGAATTTATAGAAGGAAGAAGTAAAATTAAATTTGAATTTTGTACTGTCAGTTTCAAAATTATCGTCTTAATTTGACATTTGTGTTTACTTTTACCACGGAGTATAATTTAATTTAAAAAATATTTGGTTATAATGTAAATGTAATATAACTGCACTAATTTTGAAATATAGTTTTGTTATTGCATTCTTTAAAACTTTATTTATTTCAAAAAATTTTAAATTTGTGATGAAAAATACCATAAAAATCAAACTAAGGTTATGTTCACCTCAACTCATTCTTATTGAAATCAAATCAAACCAAATTGAAACAGCTTTAAATATAGCTACAATTAAATCAGTTCAAACAAAATCAGATTATATCAAATCAAAATTTATTTTGACCATATCAAAACCAATCAGAGGGAAAGGCTAAAACGAGAATTTTATGACAAAAACAATTACCCCGGAGTAAAAAAATTAATGGAAAAATACTGCTTACTACTCCACATGTAAAAAAAAAAGACTTTAACTGTAGCCTACAAGGCTACCAATTGCGGTAAAGTTCGCAAATATCAAGACAGATCAGGGTACAGCCCATATTCGACCCGGGTCAGTGGTCCCCCCTTTCTGTCTCCCGCCGTGACTTCCGCAACCAACAGAGTAACGTTTGTCGCACGTCTGTTAATTACTCCCTCCTTCCTAAAATAAATATCACCATTATTATTATTATTATGATATTTCGATAATTTTTGTTTTTTATATATTTTATTCAAAATTTGATAAAATAAGTATTCTTATCAGTTTTTGTTCTATAAATTTTTTATATTTATCTGAATGATGCAATTTATATTTTTTTTTATTTCCATACCAATTTATGAAAAAAAGGGCACCATGCAACTTAATTAGGTTAGAATTTGGTGTGCTCCAAACATATTACTCAAAAATATTTGGTGGGAAACGTGGTGGTGTGCAAAATGAGGTAAAAAGTACGTAGTGTACCTCAAAGATTTTTGAAAAAAAAAGAGTAAATTCCATAATTAGTTCTTTATAACAGGGGAGTTTCTTTATTTAGTCCTTTATTATCAAATATTACCCCAATAGTTCTTCTTTTATGAGTATCTTTCTACAAATAGTCTTTTTTTTTATCTTCAATCATGTTGGTGTTAATTTGGGGGCTAAAAATATAATTTCACAATGATAATACATCTTTTTTGTCATACACAATTCTAAAAGCTATTCCATTTGCGTCGTTTGTGAATTATAGTCACTTTCTACTACAACCATAGTCTACAAATGTGATTTTTCGTCAGAATCATAATCCACAATCATAGTCATTATTTTTGTGTTATCCGCTTAACCAATATCAGAACACGTCACTAGACATAATGTTGATGTCAAATTATACTTTTAGCCTTTAAATTAACACCATCATGACAGAAGATAAAAAAGGACTATTTTTGAAAAGGCACCCATAAAAAAGAACTGCGGGGTGATATTTGATAATAGAAGACTAAATATGGAAACTCCAATTATAAAATTTATTCAAAAAAAATTGGTCCCAAAGTGGTAAGGTAGGAGTTTGGAGTAGTCCCCAAAAACTTTTTAAGACTCTTTTGAATTATAATTAAAAAAAAGTATAATTTTTACATTAAGTAACCATGAGTATTTGTTCATTTTTTACTTTCTTCGATCAACTATTTTTAACATTTCACCTATAATTAAATAAAATATATATTATATATTAATATAATAAAATATTAATTAGATCTAGGATTAGGGGTGTGCACCGGTCCAAAATCGGACCGGACCAGAACCGGAATGGACCAGAACCGAAATCCTCTATTTGCAAGGACCGAAGACCGGACCTGTTAGATACCGGTCCGGACCTGAATTTTCCAGTCCGGTACGGGTTTACCCTATTATGGACCGGATTTTAAACATAAATGGCCTAAATTTCGTTATAAAAAATTCATATCTAAATTATATATGTAAATATATATATAATACCATCAATCCCCAAATTCATAACAATAACAATTCACTAGGGAGGACAATTGTTAAATTCATAAGTTCATAACACTACAAAATCCATGAAAAAAATCTCAAACCAAAGTTCAAACTTCAAAGAAAAAAAATTAAATAAAAAATACTTAAAGTAAAAATTGAAATTAAGTAACATATCATGCTAGGAGCCTAAGAGAATTAAAAAAGAAGAAATTTGAAAGGATAATGGTCTAATAAATTAACTATTTATTTAAAAAATTAATATTTTATTATATATCGGTACGGACCAGATAATTCCGACTTTAGACCGGGCCGGACCAGAACCCGGAATTCTAAATTTTGGAGGACCGAAGACCGGACTTGAAAGTTCCGGACCGGTCCATTCCGATCCGATTCAGGTCTAAATTTCGGTCTGGACCTCTTAATGCACATCCCTATCTAGGATTGCGAATGACTAGGAGCAATACAGTTAGGCGGGGTTAGGGGGCAACGACCCTGAAATATTTTTACGGTTATTTTAAATTATGATAAAAACATTTAACTTTCTATCGAACCAATTTAAAATAAATAAAAAAGTAATTTCAAAAGTAGTAAAACATATTACTGAATAAATCACGTTGTACGGAGTATATTTAATGTCACTAAAGTATTACAAATATTTTCTTTAAAGGGCTAGTTAGTGGTCATTGGGGAAAATTTTTATTTTTTTGAGAGCAGGTATACAAGATATAAAAATAAATTTTTTTTCAATTTTATTTTACTGGGGGCAACTGCCCCCATATATATATTAAGGTGGATTTAACCATACTCGCGAATAAGTACTCGCTGCGGATCTACGAGAAATACCATGCAACCGATTGTATTGTATATATTGGGGTTATAGGGTGGATTTGCACATGATTGTAAGTTTTAGTAAAAAAAAATAAACTTACAAAGTATGTAGTCCCAAATATTTTAGGATGATTGATAGAAGGTGAGGTATATTTTTGTATGTGCTACAGCCCCCACAAAGTATAATGATTATACTAAAAATAAAAAGAAAAAGAAAATTTCCAAAATGATCCTTTGTAATAATGTTTTTTCTCAATTCAGTCCTTAATAACTTTTATTTACTTACGTGATATTTTATAATTGAGATGTATTCTTTGAGTAATTATTTGTATATAATGTTACTCAATTGATGATTAATCAAAACATATTTTTATAAATTTATTTTCTAAATTTAATGTATATTCTCAAAATGGTCATCATTTCTATACAACTAAATGTAAAATAAAAATAATATATTATAGTGTGTTAATATTTATTGTATTTTTGGGCATTATATTTTAATATTATTATTCTTTAAAAATATTATTTTGGTTTAAAATTATTAAATATCATGGTTTAATATTTTGTACATGGAACATGTTTTAGTCTTTAGTTTGATATTTCTTCTTTTTAATAAGCGTTCCAAGTTAATTTGGTTTCAATTGTATTACATGAGAATCAGAAGTCACAACA